TTGCCATATACCAAGTTTGTAGATCGAGCCAGATCCTGCTGCAATTCAGACGTGTTATCGGAGTTACTAACAGAACGAAAAATTTTTAAATCGTCCGCATATAAATCTTATCACTTGTCCTTTGAGCACTCTTTTGTGAAACGATTTGAACATTATTTCGACTTTTTTTTTATTTGACAATATAGGAGATATCCGACATCATAATTACAACGGATGATTCAGAAAAAAGTATCTTTCTTACATTCTTATATCTTACTGTGTATTCTTACTGTGTATTCTTACTGTGGGACATACCATGCATACATTACAAGCATCTTTATACATACGATCCTGTCAGGATATCATCCTACTTGACCTACAATTTTCGTTCTGCCTCACACTTTCTCGCTTATATTATCGAGTAATATGGGATTTACTAGGATCTTCAACGGGCTCTCTACAAGAGGATCGTACTATTATCTTTAAAAAAACCTTTTCCAAAATAATACTGCTGCAGTCCCATGGTACTCCTGTCCAATATTATTAAAAATATCGACACTTAAACGCCTTCAATCAAAGATTTCATCAATTACTTCTTGATAAACTTAAATAATTACGATTTTTATCAAATTATACCTATATACATAATCCATGACATATAGTTTCTCCTATATTATACATTATCCTATATTATACATAATTCAATAGTCTAACGCACCTAATGAGTGTACATCGTCAAAGCATAATTTGTACTCGTCAGGCAGATAGATATCGCATAAGGAATAACGTGAGCCTCTATGAAATATTCAACTTGAGAGAGAGAGAGAGAGAGGAGGGGGGAGAGAGAGAGAGAGAGAGAGAGAGAGAGACGATAGAAAGATGAATGAATAAATGTCTGCCGGTTGGTCCGTTAAAGTCGGACTCTTACTGTCAAGATTAATCGGATCTTTCGCAAACAGCGTAATTATTATTAATGACAGGCCGGCTGAACGTAAGAATCTCCTTCGCGCTAAAAGTGCAAAACGACCTGGGCTACTGTTTCCCCCTCCCTCCTTGCCGTTTTTCCCCCTTAACCGGTAGCCTCTTCAATCTGCCGGTAACGTCTGAAAAGCTGAAATTGCGGCCAAGTGGTGGTAGTATAGGAAGCGCGCTTCCACCGCGCACTTCCACGAGACAAAGCCGGATTGTTCCATCGCGCGGAGGAAGAGGTGGAACGATCCCGGGCTTCCTGCAAACTGAAATCCACCGACTCCTCGTCCTGCCCTCCTTCGCCGCAACGTAGCGAAAGCTCGTTATATTTAAGCCGAGAAATATATACACGTGTACGCGCCAGTTAACGCGGCTGTTACACGTGACTTGGTTAGCGCATTCACCACGGTACGCTGCGCCTTGGTATTGCGAATTAAATTATTTTCGTCGTCATATATGCGCCGGAGCATAATGCGGCCAATTTTCGTGCCGCCGAATTCCATCGCGGCAATTTAGCAAGGGTCGTTCTCAGACGCGGCACGACATGCGCCACAGCATGCGGTATGCCGCGGCTTGACGTGTGCAATTTGAAGGTGAGAAACCGTTTCTTAACGCGAAACGCCAGGGCGCCCAGCGGTAACGACACATTAACTCCTTATGCGGTAAGCAAAATTTTACTGTTTGTTCTTCAAACGACAGGGAAATAAAAATAGTTCGATTTAGTCGCGTTTAATTGAAAAAAAAGAAGGAAAAATGGCAAGTTTATGCGTTCCTCTTTATTCCCCTTTACGAAAATAATTCAACAAAAGGGGATTGTTATTCAATATATTTTATTTTTATAGAAAGTAATAAATTTAGAAACATTAAAATGAGAAAATACATAGAAGAAATATGCAAAGAAGAATACTTTGAAAAATATTCTGATCGATCGATTCAATTGATCGGTGATCGGTGCACCGTTGAATGAAAGAACGCGAACGAATAGACAGGGAAAATGATTTCGCGAACTCGCAATGGGGAACGTAGGAAGCAATCGACCCGCGAACTTCCGGCGTATTTCTCTTACCCTCAACGCTGACAACGTTATCCGCGAAAAGGAATATTTCGCGCTGTTTCGTCGCAGTTGCGCGATGCAGATTGCATCGTGATTGATATCGCGACTATGGCACCGCGATAACGCCGGTATTTGCGCGGTATTAACCTTTCACGCGGCAAGCAAAATTTTATTGTTTGTATCCCAAACATCAGGGAAGTAAAAATAGTTCGATAGATTTCGATGAAACTCGATCTCGAGTGTTGTTTTGGTCGCTAATTACAAATTTTGAATTCTGTTTCGTGATCAGTGATCTCAAAAATCTCCAAATATCGACTTCGCTGAAATCAAACAATTTATTGCGTTTTGATACGACATATTGGATCCGCTATTTTGAATTTCTGACTTTTGAGTTCAGATTCGTGATCAGCAACTTCAAAAACCTCAAGATATTGTTGGTAATCAATATCGCATGATCCTAAACATATTTTCCCGCTCACCATATGGTGAGCTAGCCGCACAAGGCGTTAATTAAACGTTGTTGACATTTTTCACAGCGTTCTATTCGACTTGGACCGATGGAGTGGTCTAAACCTCTGAGTCCTAACACATTCTTAAGGGAGTAGAGGAGGGGCGCATATATATAAAATAATGTGGTAATATGTATCTCTTAGAACAAAAATATTTTGAGTTATTCATATTGCTTGATAAAGCGATTTGAAAGCAATCTTACGATGATTACAGTCTATTTATCTTAAAAGAGGCAACTGAATCTTCATCAATTTCTTAAATCTTTTAAATCAATTTTTTAATTTCTTTTCTTAAACTGTTTTTAAAATTACTTTCTTCTCAAACCATTTTTTTAAATTCAACATTCTCAATTTACGAAACTCGATTTACACCTCTATCTGATCTCTCTCTTAAAATATCATTAAATTTTCAGAGTAAAAAAAAAGTGGAACCCAAAAGGTTAAGGGTGTTTCAAGGAATTTATTGAAGCTAAACGTCACCTGGTTTAAACTCGAGTGTGCACGTACTCGTAGGTGGCATAATTATGAAGTCGATCGATTAATAGGAGGGAGAAGTCGAGGGGTTGTTGAGACTCAACGGTATCTTCATAACTAACGAGGAATGCACGCGATACATTTCTACCGTATATATAGGAACAGATATAAATCTCTCGGAATAACAGGAAACGGCCGCAATAAGAAGTAATAGAGAACAGACGGGCTCTCAAATGTCGCAATTCAAACCGCAGGGCAAAAACCATTTGGGAGGAAATGGCTGTAAAGTCGGCCGCGTTGGCTGAAAGGATTCGCGTGATTTCTTTGTGAAGGTAATTCGTCTATATCCACGGCCCCGTTCCCTCTACTTAGAGCTTACTCGGAGCTTTAAGATTCATCTTATTTTATTGGAGAGACCCAATTCGTGCCCGATTCCTCCCGCGAACATTTCGTTGGAGGAATCCTTCAAAGTTTCGTAATCTTTACATCCGTCGAGACCTCTCTTTCATTCGACCGGGGAGGGGTCCTGCGATGTGCTTTCGGCCATTTTAAGTTGTCAAACAAATGTAATTGGGACGACCTGTTGAAAAGCTCGCTGGTTAATACATTAAATATTCTCGCGGCTGTACTTACCCTCCAAGGAAATGCCATACTTAACTTTATTGATAAAATATTAACTTTTTTCTGCATAGTTTACATTAGTTACACAGAATTACAACTACATAACGAGAGTACATACAAAAATGAATTGCTTAATATGCGAAGAAGAATCTTGAAATTAATATTTCGAACTCAGTCAGTTCGTGTAAATATTTACTAAAGTCATGAGAAAAAAAAATAGATTGCATGTTGCAATTTTGCGGTCAGTCATAGAAAAAACAAGAAAATGTACAAATAACTTTGTTGATATCTACTCGATTGGTTATAAGTGTCATTTTATGGATATATGTATTTTTTTAATTTTGCTGTATTTTGCAGGAATTTTGAACGCGCATTTTTTCGTTCCTGATACCATGAATCAAGAGGTTTACGACGAATATTCAAAAATCTTAAGGATCTCCCTCGCATTAGATAATTTAGTATATATGGTACATTTATATTAAATTGTGAAAAATTTATTGATTCGATATTGAATTTTAATGTAATGTAATTGTAAAATAGATTTTACGAAGATACGTACACACAGAGAAAATATTTTGATAAAAATTACGTCAAAATTATATTCCTTTTTATATTTGTTATAAAACATTATTATATTATATTGATATTGTAGTATAAATCACTGTAGAAATAGTGAATAACGAAAAAGCAAAATAACAAAACATTCGAGTAATTACAATATTGTGTAGTAAAACATTAAACGTGCATACTTTTAAATAAATATATAGCAATTTTACTCATATTTCTATGGCCAAAGGTCCAAAGTTACAAAATTTTTATTGTAATTTTTGTACAATATTTTCCTTATGTGCGTGACGAAACGAATATAAAATAAAAAATATACATTAATGCAGTAAAAGGGAGTGTCACAGACATCTGTAATTATTATTGTAAATATCATTTATTTGACTCTTAGGCGTCATTGGGTACAACGATTACATCACGTTGCTTATTTGTAACATCTTAGCGATTTGAAAAAAAAATCGGGTTCATCGAGTAGACTAAATCAAAGTGAAGACATTTCAGGTATTTATCTCATATCTATAGGTAGTATCGACTGCACGATCGCGTAGGTAAAACGCACCGTGCGACGAGGATTACTATTTAGCCATCGGTAAGCCGCGAGTACAAACTCTATTTTTACAAAATTAGGAACCACCGAATTCACGAAAGAGTTATACTAAAGATGCTCGAAAGAAGCGGGACCGCTCGGGAAAACGAGACGCGCCACGCCGCGGTCGCCCCGTCCCGTTCGATCAGGATAGATCGAAAATATCGTAAAAGACAACGATGTCTGTGTTTCTCATAATGACTACAGCTAAGTTCAATGAGGACGTTTATAGGATACAGTGTACTTTATTGTAACGGTTCTCGTTGAAAAGTTCGTCATTCAAAGCGCCGTCGCCGTCGCCGTCGCCGTCGCCGTCATCGTCGCCGCCACCGTCGCCGTCGTCGTCGTCGTCGTCGTCGTTGTTGTTGTCGACGGCGCCGTTGCCATTTTATTCTCTCAACGAAACAAGCGTTGCGATCGCGCGAACGAGATTCAGGGCTGGGGAAGAGGGAAGGCAAACGAGAACTTATGGCTAAATAAAACTTTATAAAAATATATCAACGAATAATAAATATATCTCTAACAGCGTCATTGTATAATTCGTATGTACGAGCGTACGATGTAGCCTATGCATTTACAGTCACTATATACACGCTATCAAACTCTACTTACCTAGGTAATATACAACAATTTATTTTAGTCGTTCTCTATCTCAGGAATATTTGACGTTGCACAAGTAAACGGATCTTATTCGACAGTGCGACCACGCGACTCTTTCGTTTCCGGGGTGGATGTACGCGCGCGAGAGAGAAAGAGAAAGAATGAGAAAGGGCAAGAGAGAAACCTGTCCTCCTCTTTGTACGGAATTTGCAATGATCTCTCGCGTGAGTTTTCTTCTCTGTCGCATCCCCAATCGTTCGCCCAATCGTTACTATTTCGTATTACGGTGGCTGTGTCTGTTCTATATCGTTCATCATGGTTTCACCATGGCTGCGTTTCACAATGTTATAATGATTACAGCGTGGTGCACAGAGAGCCAAACGTGTCGACCGTGCGTTGACCAGCCGTATCTCTCGTCTTTCACTACGCACGTATTTTGTTCGCGAATTTCCGACCGGAAAAGAAAGAGGAAAGGAAAAAAAAGAGAGAAAAAAAGAGGTTTGGTCTCCATTTCGTTCCTGATCCCTACACGCGGGAACACCGTTCCATAATTCGAACATCAGAGATTATTATTGTTGTTAATATTATTATTATAGTTATTATTATTCGTTACCTATACAAATATATACACGTCGTATCGCGCAAGCGCATTCAGCGCGCGCGCGCAGAGTTTCGTAGTTTACAAATTTCCTGTCTATATAAATACGTATCCCAGCGCGGCCGGGTACGCTCGCGCTTTTCCTTTCCTTCCTCTCGTTCGTTATCCTCGTGTAAGGCCAAAGAAGGACACCGGTCGTACATCCCGAAATTGAATTTCGACCGTGTCGTCTCGATCGTCACGAGGATCCCTTCGCGCGGATACGAGAAGTCGCGCCAAGTCTCGCGGTAAACGGCAGCGGTCCGCGATTCCTCCTTATCCTCCTGCTGCTCCTGCTCACGATTCGTAAATGCGTCTTCCAGAATCACCCAGAGAATTCGCCGTTTCGTAGTCCGAGGTACGCCACAAGGCCGTAATGGTCTCCGCGTCAGCGGAGCTTCCGTCGAATTTCGTTGCGCTCGCATTGCGCCGGTGATGCGCATATCATGGACAAAACGCGCGAGGAAAATCCGTCGGGAGAGAGAATTTCGGCATTATGTACAAAGAAAAATCCCCTCCCTCTCCCTCCTCGTCACTGAGGGAGAACGAGAGCGGGGAGGGGGGAGGGAAAGAGAGAGCTGTACTCCTCTGGGCATTGCTTCCGGTATCGCCGGGAGCGTTGCCGAGGTTTCCACCGTTGAGGTCTCCTTCGCTGGACCGCCTCAGCGACGGTGTTCCTGCAGGATCGTCAGGAGCAGGCAGAACAGAAGGTACGTGACGCTCGCCGACCGGATGTGGGCATGACTGTATCCGGAAGCACGCGTCACATTGAGCATAACGGAAGCGTCGGCGATCCCTTCCGGCGAGCGGACCAGCAGCAGCCACTCGCCCGCGTGAGACCACTGAATCGTCTCAAAGTGCAGGGTCGTCCTGTAACACGATTCCGTGCCGCCGTCCTGTAAAAGAACAGGGCGACGTGTGAGAAATTGATTCCGCGCCGTGCGCCGGTATTTCACTCCTTAGGAAGGAATCAAAATCGTGAAATATTTTAACACTGCTCTCAACGTAATAATCGTAGAAGAAAAAAAGTAGACTAATAAGCGCTGTTCTTAGGTAAAAAAATTAAAAATGGCAACTGCAACGTTTGCTCTCTCTCTCTCTCTCAGTATACGGAAAAAAAAGATTGGTTGAATTAATATATTAAAAATATAATATGACAGTGAAGGAACAAGACGCGTTTCGGTTGAAGAAAAGAGCATTTTTGGACGTTAGAACGTCAGTTTTAAGAACAAGGAATTCTCTTTCCTGCATAAAAAGAAGACAAAATACGATAATAAATTACTGTCCTTAGAAAAATAGAAATAAGAAGTGAGAACCGACGTGTGTCTTCTCTTCCAAAATGAACGGAGAAGAAGGATCCATTGAATTAACGTAATAATAAATGAACTACATGTGTTTTGGTTGTAACATTTTGGTTAGAACCGAATTTGTGGCCCGCAACCAATTCGGCTCTAAGAACGAGAAATTCCGTTTCCCTCAATTAAAACACATTTCGTTCGTTCATTGTGCATGTCACGTTAATTCAACCACAATCTGTTTTCTCCGTGTACGATCGATATATAGATTCCCGTTTAACACATTCTCTAGCGCAATCATCCATTTAGTGTGACGGGCGAAATTAAATTTCGACCAGCGATTAGCGAAAACAAAGGTACGACGATTTTTATTCCCTTACGGATCCTTTTCTTAAAATTCAGTCACGGACTCCAGGAGTAAGAATCGCTGCCCTACAGAGAATCCCAAAAGTTTTCTTCAACAAGTGAAGCCGAGGATAACGACGAGGCTACAATTCACGACGATGGAACGAGGCTTTGCGCGTTTGCAAAGATCTTTATGAAGGTTTTCATAGCGCTTTCATAGCGTTTTAAACCAGCGGGATCTGGTTGCCGCGAGTCACGCTTCCGACCGAGACGTTTTTATCGCATAATGCTCATTAACTCGCGATTCGATAATGTCCATCCAGCCGTCCCGAGTCGTCTTCTTATCGGAGGCGAGGACCCTCTCCCTTCTTCCTTCTAGGCCTTTACGATTAAACTTTCACGTAAAACTTCCGGGGGAAACTAGGAACTTCCGGCGTCGCCGTTCTACGTTCTCGTTTCAATTATCCATCGTACCTTCGACCGCTTCCACTCAGGAAGCGCTCTCCCACCCCTTCGATCTTCTTCGCCTTTCATCCCCTCGAAATACGTTTTATTACTTTCCGCATTAGTACCTATATAATGACTCCTCTTTCTTCCCAGCCGTCGTTCTTTGTTCATAGAAAAATCAATCGTAATATTGAACCGTTCTCGTAGGCCGTAAGGAACTTCCAGTTTATGGGACAATTGACTTATAATAAGGGTGTAATACTGGCAGCTTGAACACGATAATGGAGAGAAAAGGGTATAGAGAGAATTTCCTCTCGATGATAATTAAGACATGTTGTCTTGTGACGATAAAGAAAAGGATACGTTGTACATCGCAATGTGAAAATTTGTCCCACTTCCTTCCACACTCGTTCTCCCTTTTCACATTGTAAAATAATATAAAACGTTACAACTCCAACGTATTCGATATTTCCGTGCCATTGTGAAATTCAAACGGGAATAACGTTACGTGACGCTTCGGCTTTCAATCTTATACGAAGATGTCAGCGGGGCGCACACAGACGACCTCATAAGAGACTTTATCGTTCTGGTCGCGCGCGAAGCCGTGTCAGTGAATATACACGGCGTGTCATTGTGTTCTTTTAATATCGCAATGGCGTTTCCCTCGCATCCGTTTTATTGGTAATGCGGCCGGGATCGAAGAGAAATACGTTTGCGTAATTGAATCGGGCCAGGCGCGCATTCGTCGTCGTCGTCGTCGTCGTCGTCGTCGTCGTCGTCGCCGCTGCCGTCGTTGCCGTCGCTGTCGTTGTCGTCGACGTCGTCGTCGTCATCGCCGTCGTCTCTCGCGACGATATTTCGCGGCCGCGATTCGAAGCAGACGTCATCGCGCACAGGTCTCGCAAGTTTTTCGCATGCAAGGAGTCGCAGTTTCCTGCTCCATTTAACCCCACGTTTCACTCACCCCAACCTCCCCACCGCCCCACCCCTTTCCTTCGCCGACTTCCACCCTTTCCGGTGCGGCGGAGGCCCGCTTTCTCCATCCGTCGATCCGTTCTTCTTGTGTTCTCTATTCACGAGCTTTGCCCGCATTCCCTCCCGCTCTTCTCGTCCCTCTCTTTGCGAATCATCTTCCGTTTTGCTCGCTACGTTTCCGTCGATCCTCTCTCCGCCGCGTTTCTATACCTTCGTCTTCCTCTTATTGTTCCCTTTCATCTCATTCTATCTCTTTGCATCTTTCCATCTTTGCCGTTTTTACTACACTATCATCTCGACTTTATTTTGTCCTCTTCTCCTCCACTGCGTCTTCTTCCTCTCTCTCTCTCTTTCTCTCTCTCTCTCTCTCTCTCTCTCTCTCTCTCTCTCTCTCTCTCTGTCTCTCTGTCTCTCTCTCTCTCTCTCTCTCTCCCCCCCTCTCTCTTTCTAGTTTGGTCAAACTTTCTCCGCTAACGTGTTCTAACTTTCTGACTTTCGTCGTCTCTCTCTCTCTCTCTCTTTCTCTCTCTTTTCTCTTCCGTTCCATCTCGTCGTTCGTCTTCCTTTACTTTGACCAGTATTCCTTTGCTATTCTATTCTACTTTTCCTGCTCGAGAGTTTCTTTTTTTTTCTATCAAGACTTCCCGACGTTTCTCTATCTTCTATTAACCTATTCCTTTCGCGAGTCCCGGTTTCCAGCATACTCTTCTTGCTCCCTGTTTCCTTTGCTCACTTTCTACTTTTTGCTATCTTTATTTCCTAAACATATATGAGTTTCTTTCTGTTTCTCTACGTCACCTTTCCTTCCGATCCTGTTTCTTCCTTCTACCATTAGTTGTCCATTTTCGAAACTATTTTAGTAACATTGAATTCATTACCGAAACTGTGTCCTGTTATAGTACTGTTGTAATTTCTCTCAACAGTTGTTCTGTCCATCAAATTATTTGCCAATCCATAGAATAAACGTAAATTGCGCATCGAGATTATTTTTTCTCCCTCACGTACGGCACACATACTAGGGGGGAATATGTGAAAAATAATACGATTATATTTTGCATGTATTTTACGTCGTTTCGCAAATGAATCCTTCAACGCATATGTCCTTCACAAAACTTGCTGTGATACAGCGATGATATTCTCCTCGCGTTTGTTGTCCGTCTCGTCCCGTCGTTCGAGTCGCAGCAACGCCGCAAAAAGTAACGTCCGCGCGCGCGTGTTGACGTTACGTAATCTGCCGGACACACACACACACACACACACACACACATACACACACACACACACACACACACATACACAAGTGTTTTCTCCAAATATAATAATCTACACGAGAGATGTATCAAAACGTACAACGACACGCGCTCACTGCGCTGCACAGTGCACGCTTCGTTCTCCAATAAAGCCCGTACTTTTCAATGGAACCGACCGCGCCAATCTTCACGCGCGCCGCGAATTCGAGCCGAGCGCGTCGCCCGTCGCGAAAACCCGGAAGCGAGAGGGAGGGAGGGAGCTGGCGAGTGAAGAGGATCAAACGTTAATAAAAACAAACGCAACAGCGGTGCATCGTCAAATCCCTCGAAAGCTCCGTCGCATTGTCCACACCCGCCGGCACTCCTGGAAAAATGCTTAATCCGTCTTTTATGATGCAGCTATCTCCGCGCGCGAACGTGGATTCCGTCTCGGATAGGAAAAAGAAACGGACCGAGCTGTGGAAATGATGAAATAAGCGCATATATACGTACACACACACACACACACACACACGCATACACGAGCCCCTACGCTCGCACGCACTTCCCTCCGGCAACCTCTCATCAACCATTCCTACCGTCATTCTCACCCCGCTCATCTCGTTCCCTACGCTCATGCGTTTTCGCATCGCGAGACAACGTATACGACGTCGTGCGAGCCGCCACTCCGACTTTCTCCCCGTAGATTCCGTTTTTTCCTTTTGTTTTCTCTTCCTTTTGCCCGGCTCCCTATGTACGAGAGTCAAGGCGCGTTGCAATATCTCGGATATCGTGCGAACGTCCGCCACGCGTGGGATAATTTTCGCGTCGAAGGACCGAACGCGCCTCCGGGGAGCGTGTAATCCGAGCGGACGCGCTTGAACAGCGTCTCGTTGTTGCAAAACATACGACGGATTTTTACATGCAGCCAGCCGCCATGAGCTGCGTTCTTGTCCCTTTTTTTTTCTTGTTTTTTGCACGCGGCATTTTTACAACGCGCATGGCATAGCCAAAATATATCACTTGGGTAAATATTTAAAATAGTGGGTCAGACCGTATATCTTTTTGGAAACTTTGTCGTCCTATCCAATTTTCATGATATACAAGATCCACACGATGCAGTGAGGATTTTGTTGAAACAACGTTGAACGATAACGTTGCGTTTTCAATGTCGTTACGTGGAGCTAAAAACATTAGCAAATAAGAAAGAGGAAAAGGCTCTGTGCCAGATATTTTTCACCAAAGTGTAAAACGCGGGTAAACGAAAGAGAGAATATATAATACTTATGACATAGGTACACCCCGGCCGATGTATTTTCCAGCGGTAAAATCGTTTTTGCGATGCAAAATATTTTTCGTTCATTTGATATCACAATTTTGATCTAATAGTTTGATGGATATTATCCAATAGACGTACATTTGTAATTTAAATAAGAATTTGTTATAAAATCGGCGTTTAACTCTTCCGCTGGTCTATCTTTACTTGTAAATTTATACTTTTGTTAAAAATTAAGATTTTTGATTGTGGCTTCGGTTCTTTCGAGCTTTAAGTAGCCTTTGTAGACGACTTATTTAAAGCTTCGAGTATATCAAATAGGATTGTCTTTATCAGGAATATTAAATATCACGCTTGAATGTTTAACGTATCACCTAAGATGTATTCTTACGAAGAATATATTTGAGCAAGTATTATTTCACTACGTTGGACCGCTAAATATCTTTACGATGTGCAGGAGACGGCAAATATTTGCAGACCACGGTATATGATAAACGTATTTCTTGCGCAGTTATATGGCGCGGTGTTTGTTGTTTGTCAAACAGAATTCGCAATTCCTGCACTCGGTATTTTGTAATTACTTCCCTTTTATAAAGTAGGAATGCAACGGGTGAGAGGCGTACTCGCGAGAAGTACGAACGATGAATTAGTTTGCTCGATAGTCTGCGAGAATAAAAATATTTCCCACAGAGGAAAATAAAGCGTGATCGCGATGTAATTATTTACAACAAAGTAACGAAAATTTGATTTTACGTTCTTAATTCACCGCGATTGCGTTAGCAATCCATCTGCGAAATGACATTTCTCGAATTTAATTCCCTAAATGTCGTTTCGTTCAAGGATACATCTAACGTATAATACTATAAGTATAGATAAAAGTCGATTATATCATTTCAAATCTTAAGCACATCTGTGCGATACCAAATTTGTGATATATAAATGTGCAAGTGTCTATTGCTTTTACATGTGCTCTTATATGCCTTTAGAGACTATTGAATTAACTGAATTCTGAAACTGAATTTCAGATCAAACGTTTTTACACGCGTTAAAGTTTACGGTTCGCTCGCTTCATCCATCGACAGAAAATTCCGCAAAGAGAAGAGAAATAGAAATAAAGTTTCCTAAAAAGAGCAAAAATAGGTACCTGTGTTTATGGGAAAATAATAGCACATGTTTTTAATATGCCTTTAGCTTCACAAATCGTTATCGTTTTTGTAAACGATCGTCTAACATATACAACAAATGTATGCATGCGTGATGTGATGTATTAGACTGATGTAAACATAAATATTTAACAGCTATTTTATTTAACAGCTTCTGTTTAACAGCCTTTTAACGATAACCTATCGTTCCTGTTTTATATCGACGAGTCGTTGCGGATTGACGAGAACCAGATTTTTTGTTATTAATATACACTTCGATTGCTAATTATTTAATATTAAAATATTAACTAGTATTCTTTAATATTAATTATTTAAATCACTGGCTTAGCAAACATGTTTTAATGCTGGAAATGGGTAATCCGTGCCCTATCAATTATAAATATCACAACTTTGAATCGTTTCGATCAAAATTTATAAATAAAAGAGCCCATCAAACCTCATCAAAGCTAACGTTAGGTGAAAAGCAAATTAAATTAACTTAATTGCACGAGTAAATTAAATTAGCCGTTAATATGTAAGTAACTCATTGAAAAAGAATAAAGATAATGAGGATCGAAACGTTTATATCATTATTCCCCATGAGTCGCTTATGTGTTAATTGCTAATTTAATTTACATGCACAATGTTTACCCAGCGTCGGCTCTTACAAGCTCTTTTATTTTGTATTTTGATGTTTCTCACGTCTGTATCCAAAACATACACGTATCCATACATTAATATTTATACGATACCGCGAGCAAGATTCAACAGGCAAATTTACCTCGATTGCGAGAGCTTGAACCCCATCGCGAGATAGTGCACCGGGTATATATACGTGCTCTTCCGATGTCCAGAGAATCTTCGTGTAGCTCGGCTCGGCGCAGAATTCGACGACGATGTCCAACGGCTCACCCTCGTTCGCCGTCACCGTCTGACTCGGCGGATGAACCATGGGTCGCCCTGCAACAAAAAAAAAAGGAAGAGAAGGTCGGTTAACTTCCGTGGAATCGTCATGATCATCCTTCGCCTCCCCCCCCTCCCACACACACGACTATAAATCCATCCGTCGACAGAGACTTTTTTATTTTTTCGCGGAAAGCTTGGTATTTTATTAACAGCACAAATTCTCTCAACCGAGTGACTCGCCAATTGCAATTTTATTTCAATCATGCGTGTTTTTTAAAATGGTCCGGCGAACTTTCGGTGAACCAAATATTACCTTTTTCGACGCACACATCATTGTCATCAGCATTCCCAGCGTGTTAAAATTCAGGGGAAACGAGCCGCGAGTGGTAATAGGTGCAGCGTACGCGTTGCAAATGAAAGACACGAGTGAGAGCTGATCGATAATGTGCATTACAGTTTCCACCAGTGACCTTTTTATTGCTGCAGCTCAGGATTTTTATTTATTTATTTTTCTTTAATTGTTCTTTAATTGTTGACGTGAAAAAGTCTTTCGATGGATTACTGGTGAAAAGTTGGGATTTCAGTTAACAACATCTTCCCTTCCGAGCTGTGTCAGCAAATTTCACGTACAAATCGCCATTTGGCTCTAGATTGAGCGATATGAAACGTAAATGTACGATAATGGAGCGAGACAGTAGACGGAAGATAGGTCGACTATTAACACAAGACAAATGACACATCACGACCGGTGAATATGGGATTTGTTCGCGCTGCATGCGCTCTCTATATATAATACACACGCGACAGATGTCATTTCAAACTTTCACAAAGACAGGGGAAGCTCGAGAGGGTGGAGGAGACGCGGAAAATATGTGAAACATACGATTGAAGTCGTCCGCGAGTAAAGTTGCTAGATATCCAGATCTCAACTGGACTGTCCAGATTTTACTACCAATGTTTAATTGTTCAGCTGATATTAAAAGTCTCCAGATTATTACTCCGGATTAAATACTCTTCCGTCGATACATTCTTCGAAAAATTATTGCATTCCCAATTTCTTTTTTCTTTTGAAAGTTTGTTCAGGTTTTCTAATTTTCAAATGTAGCAACCCTATTCACGAATAACATCGTCCGATAAAAATAACGTTATAAAACGTTTTGAGATACTATCGCTTATTATTGTCGACTTTTTTTTTAACTCTTTAACTCTTCGAGTATTGTAGATGCGCGATTGTATATGCGTGCTCCGCGTTCGTTATAAATCGATACTTTCAAAAGCTCTTATTTGTACGTTCACTTGCTCAGCTTGTTAGCAACAAGAGTCTAGCTGTAGATTTTATTACCTTGAGTTGAGAATATTAATTAATTTTTGTTCTGTCTGATATCACAGAGTAGTCACGAAACGAAATTCCAACGACAATATTAATTTGATAATATTCCGGAGTTCCGGGCATATAGTGCGCTTTTTCGTTGAGTTGCTCCGCACTCGAAGTATCAACATTAAATCCATAAGTTGTGTTTGAAGCTTCAGAGTTATTCGAATTTCGGATTTCGGGGCATTGCATCCGAATAGCGAAATTCCGAAGTGTGAATATTCGAGCATATGAATATTTCAATGATATTGATCGTACAGAATCCTGTTGTAGAAAATTAATTCTATTAAAAGCTCCGATATTTCGAAACTTCGAACGCTACTCGGAGATTCGGAACTTATTGTCAATAGGCGACTGCCAGCTGGGCGCGCAAATTTAGGTCACTCATTTGCGACCTCCGTCCTTAAAGGATGAAAACATATGGCGCAACTTAGCGGCGAAACAATGCGCCAACGTTTAATTAGTGCGCGATATTCTCGCGTATCACGCTCATCCGTCACGCAGCGTGCAAGTTACTATAAATATCGACCGCTCATCGTCTATTTATCGTGACTTCGAATGATTTAACGTTGTTAAGCGTTATCAAGAGGTACGGTAGTGCCTCGCGCCAAACGAAGTTGCGCCCGAACGATGCGGGACACACACCGTGCCTATATTACGCGAAACTACGAGTTGAAACGAGGTGAGATATTCATATCTCAGCAATGGCTAAACCGATCGAGGTTTTTGCAGTCCCAATCGATTCGGCCTTAAAAAATAGGAAGAAAAGTGTCCTTGTGTTTTTTGTGTACGTTATCCCTAAGTGTAGATATTTTAGAATAAAGTCCAAATCACGAAAAATTTCGATTCAGTAAGAAAGTAAGAAACGCTAGACCGCAGAGGAAAGGGGATTTGTGCATCTCACTTTTCCGATACCAGAGGCGTTACAAACGCGCTGAAGAAGCAGTGAGTGCGAGTGAGCAAGCGATAGAGAGTAAGAGAGAGAAGAATATTGCTAGAATACAGGAGTAGAAATATGCGAGAAAGAGAAAGAGAGCGAGAGCGAGCGAGAGAGAGAAAGAGAGAGAGAGAAGCTAAGATATTTTGCTAAAATATTTTTTATTGCATTGTTATATTAACTAATTTATTATAATAACAAGTAAAATAACGATAAAACTCAGTGTTCTAATAAATAATGAAGACTGTTTTTAAAGTACCGGACTGTGTATCATTGAGAGTTCTCGATATATTTATCTTCAGATTGCAAATCGCTCTCATTTGCAGAGTTGATGTTGAGTAGAGTTTTTCAATTCAGTTATTGTTTTGTTATATCATTTTTTTGTAGAACAGTTTTGTAGAGTTTTATTTATAGTATTCAATAGAAGAATTTATTGTTAGAGATATAAGTTTTACTTATACAAACTTATTACTTGTATAACGAAAATAATAAATTATATTGCCCAAAGATACACGCTCAGATGCGGTACGATGCACAGTACTAAAAGCGTAAACATTGCCGTTTATATCATTTCTTTTGCAAAGTAGTGTTGTAGAGTTTTATTATAGTTATAAATTTTACTTGTAAAATTTTATGTTACATATATAACTTGAAAAAAAGTAATTTGAAATTTCTAAAAATAACACTACATGTTGCGCGTGTACTTGGCGCTTCTTTTTACTTTTGTTTTGTTAAGAAAGGTAAATTTTATACAACGTTACGGGCTCTCTGAGACGCGTCCCGGCGGGACAAGGTCGCGTGATTTTGAAAACAACATGTCCGTAAGTACGCAACTGCCGCGACCGCTTCCATTATTGTTTACGCCGCGGCGGCGGACAGATCGGCCGATCGTCGCGCGTAATAATTTCCGAATTTTCACGCTCGATCACAGTATACGCGCGCGTGTAACGTGTAATATTCGTGCGTGTGTGTGTGTGTGTGTGTGCACACGTGACGATCCGGAGCATCTTAAGTAATAGCAGTGTTTCATGGTCTTTAAAGGTAAACTTTTATTGGTTAACTTGATTAAGTTGAAGAAGCTAATTTGTAGTCTCGAGTCTTCGTACTCTTGATGCGGGGCGCATTTGTCGCTGTAATACTAATGAGGGAACCCGCTTTTTGTTACAGATCTGCTGGAGTTTACGGCCACGCGATAGTTGCGGTTACCGGGATGCAGTTTCGACGGACGCCGATGCCGCACCGGAGGATCCGGTTCGGGCCGAGCAGAGTCGGCTTGAAGGTGAGGTTCACTGATCGTTTATACATTTCTTGATTCATTGCGATCGAAAACCGAGTGATTAGAATAAAAGCCGTTGACTTACGATGACAAAGGATCAACATTTGTATCTGCACGCGCGCTTCCGCGAACTGAACTCAACCTAACCTAACCTAACCTAACTTTTAACCTAACGGTTTAACTAACGAAACTATATTTTTTGTTACAGATCCGCAGCAGAACGCGGCTGACTCTGTCTGCTGTGTATCGGTGAGTCAGAAAAAAAAAGACATTTTTATGGTGATGGGTGTTTGCAATATCTCGAGAAAATCAATGCGATTTAATTATTCTTTTTTCACACATTGCTCGAAATAATCAGGAGATCGTGTCTTTCAATGACGATATTACACAACAGAATCTTTAAGATATAATATATATTTCTCTCTTTTATATTTACTCAGAATCATTAGGAGATACAGATATAAATGCTTTATTTTGTTATAATATTGAAATCAAGATATGGAATTATTTGCTGCGATTCAATCAATATAACTCCTGCTTCGAGTAGTGTGTAATGTTAAAATTTGATCAGAATTGCGCCATCGCCACGTGAAATTCATCATTATTTATCTTATTTGGCTTGATAAATTTTATGTCTGTCGAGTTTATCAATTTTCTACGCGTACGTTCTATATTTTTCACGCGTGTCAGAAGCGATTTCATTTGAAATGACCGATAAATTCGGTATGCGCGTTTATTTACATTACAACTTAGTCCTTACGAAACAGGACGTGCGTTTCTTTCGAATTATCGTTCGCGAAACAAAACATTTTCGTTTTTTCTCTCTTATCTAAACGTCGTAATTTTCATTCGCGATTGATTCTACGCGAATCGCGTCTCACGTATACATTCTCGGAACGTTGCAATATCGTGTTTACTTCTTTTTGGAATAAAAATCTCATCTCTTAAACGCGACTATATATGTTTCTTTGTCTCGCCATTCTTTTTCCTTAAATCCCATGGAAATTAATGAAAGAGAAAAGATAAACAAAGAGAAAGAAAAAGCGACAAAATATTGTGAAAAAGGAACTCGTCCTGGATGCTGAGGAGATTGGACATTGGACGGATGCAGAGTCACAGGAGTCAACGAAAGTCAGTGAGTGTACAGATCAAACGCTCAGAAAGCGTCATATTTTATAATGCATGCTCATATATAAATCGCATTGGTTTTCGACCAGAGATAATAAAAAATAGTACGCGATAATATGTGTTCATATCTAGTTTAATATATAAAATTACGTGCGAAGAAAAAAGTGCGACATATTGTTATTTAAAGTTCTCGTGAGGTTCTTGCGAGGTTCATTATTTTCAATGTTCACTCGAGCTCTCAGATAGATAAACAATATCTTTTCCAATGTGCTATTTGGGGTGTTCAACTTCTACTATTGATTGAAGAACAAAAACTTCGTCTATAGACTTTCAAATGCGTT